TCCACCTGTTTTGGCAATAAACTTATTGAGACTAGGAAGCCCTCAGTGCAGAGATTCTGGGGCCAACGGACAAGCTACCCTCCTGACTCTTCTTTTTGAAGGTAGATAGGTCCATTGTCTCTACTTGCTTTTCTCTTATTTTACCAGGAGTCCTGGTGTGCTTCTATAGAATAAGATCTGGACAGCTAGCTGAAAGATCAGCAGTAAAAACTTATCAGCTGCTCCTTGGAAATCCTATATAAGGTCTCTATGAGCAGAACAGATTCCATGACACTTAACAAAGACAACAGGATAGAAGGTACAACTAAAGCAAGGGTGTGACTTGATTTATGCCCATTTGTAAAGCTGTGACTCAAGATAACATCCATCACAATCCTGTCACATTAACATGAAAAAGAAACATGAAGTCCAATACCATCAAGTGGATTCCAACGCATAGAGACCCCATTTAAATACTGAATGCTTTAAATCTTTTTTCACTTGTTTGTTTTAACTTTATTGTGAGTTGGTTGACTGTATACAGAATAGATCATCAATTTTACATTAGACAATTTATATACATTTCTTTCCTCTCAACAGAGAGAGACCAATAGTCACACTTCAGAAAAAGCTCACAAGCTTTTAAGACCCCAGTCACCGTTCACCAAAGTAGGATGTAGAACATTGTTATACCAGTTGAACATGTCCCCCAAGACTACGGCCCTGATCCCAAGGCCCAGTGACTCATTTCCACAAGGTGTTTAGTGATGTCTAAGAAGTATTCATAACTGCTCACTATATGCTCCACCACAGTTATGGTACATTTGCAAAACAGTTAAAAACTCATATGCAAATATGCTCTGTCAAACCTACATATTTGTGGATATATTCCCACTCTCCTTTGCACATCTATATAGCCTGCATGCCTATCCATGCATCTACCCTTAGATCATCAATCTGCAGGATAATGTTGCTATTGACAGGTGCTGTCAAGTCAGTTACAGCTCATAGTAACTGTATAAACAACAAAACGAAACACTGCCCAAGTCTGCGCCATCCTCACAATTGTTATAGTTGAATCCATTGTAGCTGCCATTATATAAATCTCTCCCGTTAGGGGTTTTCTTATATTTATTTCTATTACCTTTCAAGCCTGATGCTCTTCTCCAGGGACAAATCCCTTCAGATAGTATGTCCAAAGTGTGAGAGATGAAGTCCTGTCCTCCTGGCTTCTAAAGAACATTCTGGCTGTATTTCTGACACAGATTTTTTTTTTTCTGGCAGTCCACGTACTTTCAATGTTTCTCCAACATTATAACTCAAATGCAGCAATTCTTCTATGGTCTCCCATATTCATTTTCCAACTTTTGCATCCTATGAGGTTATGGAAAACACCAAGGCTTGGTTATTGTTGTTGTTAAGTGACGTCAAGTCATTTCTGACTCATAACGTTCCTACATAAGGCTTCCAAAGAGCGACTGGTGAGCTTGAACTGCTGACCTTGCAGTTAAAACTGACTTTGCAGTCCAGTGCATTAACTCACAGCGCTCTAAAGACTTGGTTGTTGTTTTTGTTGTTAAGTGCTAGCGAGTTGATTCTGACCCATAGCAACCCTGTATAAGGTTTCCAATGAGCAGCTGGTGAGCTTGAACCACCGACCTGGCAGTTCAAATGACTTTGCAGTCTGACACATTACCCCACAGCACCACACCAAGACTTGGTTGTTGTTGTTGTTAGGTGCCATTGAGTCGGTACCAACTCATAGCGACCTTATGCATAGCAGAACGAAACACTACCTGATCCTGGGCCAACCTCGCTATTGTTGCCACACTTGAACCCATTGATGCTGCCACTTTGCCAATCCATCTCACTGGGGATCATCCTCTTTTTCTCTGACCTTACCAAACATGATATCCATTTTCAGAGACTGGTTCTTCCTGACAATATGTCCAAAGTATGAGAGATGAAGTTTGTCCATCCTGGCCTCCAAGGAGCACTCTGGCTGCATTTCTTCCAACACAGATCTGTTGATTCTTTTGGCAGCCCATGGCACTTTCAATATTCTCCTCCAACACCATAACTCAAAAGCATCAATTCTTCTATGGTTTTCATTATTTACTGTCCAGCTTTCACATGCATATGAATTTATTGAAAATACCATGGCACCTTAGTCCTCAAACTGACATCTTTGCTCTTCAACACTTTGAAAAGGTCTTGTGCAGCAGATTTGCCTAATGTAATACGTCATTTGATTTCTTGATTGCTGCTTCCATGAGGGTTGATAGTTGATCCAAGAAGAATGAAGTCCTTGACAACTTCAACATTTTCTCTGTTGATAAGAATGTTGTTTATTGGTCCAGTGGTGAGGATTTTTGTTTTCTTTACATTGAGATGAAATTCATACCAAAGACTGTGCTCTTTGAGTATCATCAGCAAATGTTTTAAGTCTTCTTCACTTTCAGCAAGCAAGGTTATATCATCTGCATATCACAGGTTGTTACTGAGTTTTCCTCCAATCCTGATGCCACATTTTTCTTCATATAACCCAGCTCCTCAGATTATTTGTTCAGCATACAGGTTGAATAAGTATGGTAAAAGCATACAATCCTGTCACACACCTTTCTTAATTTTAAACCATTCAGTGTTCCCATGTTCTGTTAGAGCAACTGTCTCTTGGTCCTTGTACAGATTCCTCATAATTAAGTGTTTTGGAATACTCATAATATGCAATTCTGTCCATAGATTGTCATGATCCACACAACTGAAAGCCTTTTTGTAGTGAATAAAGCACAAGTAAACATCTATCTGATATTCTGTGCTTTCAGCCAAGATCCATTGGACATCAGCAGTAATATCCCTCGTTCCACGGACTCTTCTGAATCCAGCTTGAACCTCTGGAAGTTCTCTATCAGTGTTTGCAGTTCGATACTACCAGGGGTTTCTCAGGAGAAAGATGAGACTTTCTGCTCCCATCAAGATTTACAGCCTTGGAAACCCTATACAGGGTCGCCATGGGTCAGAACTGACTCGGCAGCACTTAACAACAAGACTTGGTGGTTGTTGTTATTTGTTGTTAGGTGCACCTTATACCCCAAACTGCAATCTTTGCTCTTGAACACTTTAAATAGGTCATGTGGAACATATTTGCCTAACACAATATGTCATTTCATTTCTTGGCTACTGGTTCCCTGAGTGTTGATAGTGGATCCAAACAAAATGAAATCTTAAATAATTTCAGTTTTTCTTCATTTATCATGATATTATTTATTGGTCCAGTGATGAGGATTTTTGTTGTGTTTATATTGAGAAACAACCCAACTTGAAGGCTGTGATCTTTGATCTCCACCAGTAAGAATTTGAAATCCTCTTAGGTAGCCCTGGTGGCATAGTTTTAGGCTGCTAACTACAAGGTCAGCAATTTGAGTATACCAAGTGCTCCGCAGGAGATAGATGAGGCTTTCTGCTTTTGTAAAAGTTATAGCCTCAGAAATCCTATCCAGGATCGCTATGAGTCAGAATAGATTTCACAGTACACCACCACCATGACCTTCACTTTCAGCAAGCAAGGTTGTATCATTGATATTCTGCACATTATTAATATATCTTATTTCTATCCTGATGCCACATTTTCCCTCACATAATCCAGCTTCTTGTTCTCTCTGTTCAGTGTCTAGCATGAATAAGTATGTTGAAAGAATAGAACCCTACCACGCAGCTTTCCTGATCTTTAAACATCCAGTGTCCCCTTGTTCTGTTTAAACAATTGACTCTTGGGCTATGTACAGTTTTCTCATGACCACAGTTAAGTGATCTGGAATACCCTTCCTTCGCTAAATTATCCATACCTTGTAATGATCCACACAATCGAAATCCTTTCCATAGCTAATAAAGCACAGGTAAATGTCTTTCTGGTATGCTATGCTTTAAGCCAGGATCCATATGATGTTAGCAATGATATTCTCATTTCATGTCTTCAACTAAATCTGGCTTTAAACTCTGGAAGTTCTTTGTCAATGTACAGTTGCAACCGTTTTTTGCATGATCTTTAGCAAAATCTTACTTGGATGTGATATTAATGCTACAGTTTGATGATTTCTGCATTCCATTGGATTATCTCTCTTTGGAATGTCAACAAATATGGATCTCTGCCAATCAATTAGCAAGGTAGCTGTCTTCCACATTTCTTGACATATATGAGTGAATGACTCCAATGTTGCATCAGTTTGTTAAAAGATTTCAATTTGCATTCCATCAATTCCTGGAGACTTGGTCTTTGACAATGCCTGTAGTGCAGCTGAGACTTCTGCCTTTAGTACTATTGGTTCTTGATCATATGCTACTTCTTGAAGTAGTTAACACTGACAATTTCTTTTTGGGACAGTGATTCTTAGTACTCACTCCATCTTCTTTTGATGTTTTCGGCATCATTCAATATTTTACCCATAGAATCCTTCAATATTTCAAGTCAAGGTTAGAATTTTTTCTTCAGTTCCCTCAGCCTGAGGAATGCTGAGCATGTTCATCACTTTTGGCTTTCTAACTCCAGGTCTGTGCACATTTCATTTTAATATTTGACTTTGTTTTCTTGAGTTGACCTTTGAAATATTCTGTTCAACTCTTTTACCTCCTCACTTCTTCCGTTTGCTTTATCATCTCTACGCTGGAGAGCTAGTTTCAGAGTCTCTTCAAAATGACATCCATTTTGGTCTTTTCCTTCTTTCTTATCTTCTTAATCACCTTTTGCTTTCTTCCTATATAATGTTCTTGATGGTCTTCAGTCTTTAATGTCTAATGCATCAAATCTGTTCTTTAGATGATCTCTAAAGTCAGGTATGATATGTTAAAGGTCATATTTTGGCAACTGTGGGCTTGTTTCAGTCTGAACCTGCCTCTGAGCAATTAATGATGTGTTCCACAGTCTGCTACTGCCTTTGTTTTGACTGATGGCATGAAACTTTTCCATTGTTTCTTCCTGCACATGTAGTCAATTTTGCATTCCAATCAACGGTAATTATCAATACATCTTGATTGCCTGTTTCATCTATTTCACACAGAAGAATCAATTTCGTCATCGCTGGTTGCACAAATTTGAATAATTTTAGGCATATGGATATTATCCTATCACAGACAGCATTACATTTCAAGATATATTTTGAAATATTATTTTTGATGAAAATGTGTTGCCACTCCTTCGTTTTCTTCAAGTTTTTATTGTGAATTAGGTGATAGTTTACATGGGAGAACATTAGCTTTGCATTCATCCTATTGTATTTTGTTTCATTGCAATGATTACAATCCCCTCCATGTATCATCAAACAACCAAAGGGTACACCCTGCAAACCTGCCCACTGGCCATCAGCACACAGTCCCTCTCTCTCCCTGAGTCCAGAGTCCCCAGCCGCTCCATCTCTCCACATCATCATCTCTGCCGCCATCTCTGGTTTCACTGCTTTTCTGGATAGGGTTCCGCTCTCTGCTCTTCTTCTCAGGGTCCTTTTTTTATTTTTATTTTTTAATGTTTTATTGTGAATTACTTGATAGTTTACAAGGGAGAACATTAGTTTTACATTATTGTGAATTACTTGATAGTTTACAAGGGAGAACATTTGTTTTATATTCATCCTATTTTACATCGTTTCATTGCCATGGTTACAATCCCCTCCATGCATCATCAATCAGCCAAAGGATATACCCTACAAGCCTGCTCTCCCCCCTCAGCTGTCTCCCCTCCCCCCCCCCCACCCCACCTCACCCTGGTCGTCAGCCACAGTCCCTTTCCCTCTCTGGGTCTAAAGTCCCCAGCTGCTCCATCTCTCCATCTCTAATGTCCATCTTTATCTATTATGCCGGGTTTTGCCTTAAAGTTTATTTTATCCGAGATTGGTATTGTCACTCCTGTTCGTTTTTTATTGCAATTAGTTTGGTATATTTTTTTCTATCCTTTGATTTTTAATCTGTTTTTGTCCTGTGTGTGAGATGTGTGTCTTGAAGAAAGCATATTGAAGGAGCTTGTTTTCTTATCCATTCTGCCACTCTTTGTTTCTTAACAGGTGTATTTAATCCATCTGCATTCAGTGTAATTATCTATAGGTATGGATTAATTCCTGCCATTGTTTGTTTTTTTGTGGTGTTGCTGCTTTCTTTGTTCTGTGTGTCTTCCTTTCTTGAGTTCATGCTTTTTGTGTTCTTTCTTGTGAGTTTCCTCATAGTTTTAATGTTTCCATGTTCTTCTTGTATTTTCATTCTCTTGGTATGTTGTGAAGTGTTCATTTTCTTTCAGGTTGCCTTATAGTCCATTAAGTTTTCTCTCCATTTAGTGCAGTCTATTTTATCCTGTAATTGACCTGACCTTCTCACCATCTGGATCTCTGTTCCTATGTGTTTACCTTCTTTTGCATTGTAATTGTTTTGATCAAAGATTGCTCTCCCAGATTCTCTGAGTTTGTTCTTATAGTTTTGTCCTTTTCTCGACTCTTCCTTCTTTCAATTTAGTTCTGGGAGGTGCTGCCTTTCCTGTATTAAAAAAAAAAAAAAAAAATTGTTCATGGCCTGCTCTTGTGCTGAGTATCTGTGCGCATGTGTGACAGAAGAATCCACCAGTAGTGAGGGTGGGGTGTGTCCACTTGCTCACAAGAATGGAGGTGCACAAACAGTGGGGGTGTCAATGACCAGATACTAAAAAAGAAAAGAAGATCAGAACAAAGCAAAACTGACAAAGTGTATTGTCCACATTTGCTCCAAGGTTCCTGTGGCATTTTTCCATGGTGTTTCTACTCCCCTGCTTGGTCTTGCCATTTGATCTCACCCAAGATGTTGATTCCAGGCCTCTGAGCCAGGCAGATTCTAAAGTCTGCAATTTCTTACTTCAGCTTCAAGTTCCACTAGCTATCAGCCTTCAAACTTCAAAAATATTCCTATCTCTGTGGTTCCAAGTTTTGGAGCTCTGCCCTGGATCTGCTTTGGCTGGTCTTCTGTGTTATGGCTGATGGCGAACTTCACTGCACCTCCACCCTAGCCACCATCATGACCTGCCTCCTTCACATCTTTTTTAAAAAATATTTTTTATTGTTGTTTTGCTATTTTTTATATTGGAAGCTTATTTGAATAAAGGGAAAACAAATCCTTACTAGTTCCCATGCTCTAATTGGTGAAAGAGTAGAATATAAATTCCTCTCATAAAATTACTGCTCTCCCTCAAGATTTAAGCAAATCAATGGCTGTTCACTTTCCATGCTGACAGGTGGGAGTCATTCATGGTTTTGGTAAGAGCTTAGAGCTAAACGGGGCCTCAGAGATCACCTAATTCAGCCCCTCCTTTACAAAATAAGACAACTTAGAAGGTTATTGATTTTAGGTTTCAAAATATGGCTAACCTATATGCACAATGCCTATTCAGTGTTATGGTAAACCCTGCTTATTGAGAAGTTGAACAACCAGATTTAAATGTAGCTACTGCTTTTCCTCCAAGGCAAGGAACTTATGCATTCCTTGAAAACAAATGTTGAGTCTTTGGTGTCTTTATCATTGATTTAAACAAATGTGTGTTTACTTCCTTTTATTTCATTAATTTTTATGAATTTGGCAGTTTGGGTTCAAGTGCATTTCAACACAGTAAGATAATTCTTGAATTAACATAATCTATTGTTACATTTTGAAGTATTTGTCAAGTCTCCTCTTTTTTTCTCCCTCATTCTATTAATATTTATGTGTATTTATAGGATTTACAAAATCCTTTAATTCTTGATTTTGCATTCAGTATTAAGGCATATTTTATTTGGGAGCTGAGATGTATTCAACACAGATTTTTTTAAAAATCACTTTTATTGTGAAAGTATGCACATTTTTTATGGGGAAGTATATAAACCATTAATATATGGGTTAATGAACTTTTAAGTAAACATCAATCTAGCCATTACCCAGATCAAGAAAATAATATATTACCAGCACATCTCTTTAGTGAATTTTTCTGCAGTGAATTTCTTCTAGTGACCAAAGAGACCCATGTTGAATTGATCAATGCTTGCAGAAACTGAGAACACACACACCATGGGGAACCTTAACATTCTCAGTAAAAGGTTGTTAAAGGGAACTTATTATAGGATTTTGATTTTGTTAGGTAATTTTGTTGCTGTAAGTTGCTGTTGAGTTGGAAATCCTATGTACAGTATCACCCTCTTCTTCCCCATCCTCACAAGTGCTAGCTGTTGTGGAATACCTTACAACGTGGGGGCAGGGAGGTCATCTTTTAGCTCTGTACTGGACAATATTCTATTGTAATCCCTAGGATTTTCATCAGCTAATTTTCGGAAATAGATTGCCAGTTCTATCTTCCTACTCTTAATCTAGAAACTCCACTAAAACCAGTCCACAATGGTTGACTCTGCTTGTATTTGCAATACTGGTGACATAACTTCAAGAATCATAGACACATGATAGTTGGTCATTTTAAGGACAATTTAAGGAGGGTGGGCTTTGCTCTAGGCTGAAAGAAGAATAATTCTATGGCTGACTATCTTAATAAATATGTTGTTGTTAAGTGCTGGCAAGTCATTTCCGACTCATAACAATCCTGTCCAGGGTTTCTGAGGAGCAGTTGGTGGGTTTGAATCACCGACCTTACAGTTTAAACTGACTTTGTGCTCTAGTGCTTAATCTACAGCACTGCACCAGTACTCCAGATATGTTGTTGTTGTTAAGTACCATCGAGTAAATTCCGACTCATAGCGACCCTGTATCGGATTTTCCAAGTAGTGACTAAATTTGGAAAGCCAACCTTGCAGTTTAGGAAGGAAAACAAGACTGAGGCTAAAGCTGCAGTTTGTATAGAACTAGCAGTTACTCCTATTACCCGGAGGGAGGAAAGGTGATTAGGTTTTGTCTTGGACAATGTTCTCAGTGCGACTGTGTTCAGATGTGATTATGGAGTACTCCTGTTTTTGTCTTGATCCATAAGAATCACAGAGAGACCTTGTCTAATGTTGATGCTCTCTGAAATTGCTCATTTTCAATAGGAGAGTACCAAGGCCTACCTGATAGTAATAGGCCATTTCCTGTAAGACAGGGGCAGAATTTTTCTTTCTAGGGAACACATCTCCTTCCCAGCTCCCTTATCCTGGTGAATGTAGCACAGACTAGCAGCTCTGGTGCCATTTAAAAATGCCTTTTATAAACCTAGGAATTAAATGATTGCTTCTGTCTACTAAATAAAGGAGTTCCTGAGTGACTAAAACAGCTAAGCACTCAACTACTAAGGAGTCCTGATAGCATAGTTGATTGCATGGTGGGCTGCTAATCACAAGGTCAGCACTTCAAACCTACCAGTCACTCCTCAGAAACCCTGTATAGGGTCCCTATAAGTCAGAACTGACTCAACAGCACTTAACAAAAATAACAACCACAGCATGGATATGAACTTCTGATATGGCACTGTAGGATCAGCAATAAACTACGACTACAAGGTTGGCAGCTCAAATCCACAAGCAGTTCCTTGGAAACCCTGTGTAATGAGTCAGAATTGGCTCTACAGCAATTAACAACAACAACATCTGCATGGATATTATAAGATTTCCAAGGATAAATAAGAATAGAGAACATACTGAGCTCTTCCACAATTGATTCATATTTCATAAAGCTTTTCTAACTTTTTCATTTAAGTTTATTTATATCAGAGTCTTGGGTAATGGTTATTACTTTAATTAAAATGAAAATACTCAAGCAAAATATTTAGGAATTTGTCCAGTTTCATTTAGCTGTGTTAGAAGCTAGAATCAAAATATTTATTTTCTTCCTTTATTTCTATTAACTTTAAAAGGTTATATTTTTATCATACATGACTGCTAAAGACTTTCCTCCTCCACCAAAATTGTGCTAAATGGTCTTTAAGAATCTCATTTGCATGCATTTAAAGCACTGCAATACAAAAGTAAGGAAACCAAAAGCATGTAGCCATCATAGTAGTAAGACTGTGGCTTTTAGTTCAAGAATTATTGTAATGTTGAAACAAGATCATGGCTGAACAGATCTTTATGGATTCAAACCTGTTTCCTGGCACCTGGTCCCCAAGTCAGTACAT